AAAAAAAACCAAATACTATACATATAACTAAAAAAACGAAACAAAACAGGTACTAAGAAGGAAGATAAGCTAATGGAAAAACTTTACAATAGGGGCAAGATAAACTTCTGAGTTTCATATGTCATTTTGTTTCTGAATAATTGAATAATAATTGAAAATCTTTATTTTCAATCAGAATAAAGATGTTTCTTCCCTGGTTATCTGTTCTGCCATGCCAGCATTTCTGGGGTGGGACAAAAGACCTCAAAAAGTCAAGATTCACAAGACACCAGTGGTCATCTTGAAGTCAGAGTTGGTAAACCTGGTCTGGGCAGCAGGGAATAGGGCCGAGGGGAACTGTTCCATGCTATGCTGTCTACTACAGTAGCCCAGAGCCACATGTGGTGACTGAGCACTTGAAACATGGCTGGTTCAAACCGAGTTGGTTTGTAAAAGCCAAATACTCTCCTCATTTCAAAGACTTAGTATTTAAAAAGAATGAAAATGCCTCATTAATAATGTTTAGCATTGATTATATGTTGAAATATTTTTGGATATATTAGGTTAAATGAAATAAATCACAATACATTTTACCCATTTTTAAAGAAAAGTTAAGATGATAAATGTGGCTTATATTTTATTTTTATTGAATAGTGCTTGTCCAAATGGCCTTTCCAAATCCTGGAACATTTGAAGGGAGGCTAACCCACCTCAGTCCTTGGAGGGTTTTAGTTGAGGAAAGGTCACTGACCCTGTCTGACCTTACCTTCAGTAAGCATAGAGGGAGCTGTTCCTCTCATTTTCCAAGGCCCTAGTTCCTAGCCACCCTCTCCAGAAAAGTCTACCTGCTGTTTTGGAAACTAGACATCTAGACCTGGTAGGGACTTGGGGTTGTGACTTATGCAAAACCTTCTCTCACTGCGACTCTCAGAAGGTGAAACCATACCAGTTGTTACTGGTATTAACACACAAGAACTCTCACATGTTTGTACATGTGTTTCCCTTTTGTCTTCCCAGTAGTCCTTTGAGGTGGGTGTTATTAGTAACCCCGATGTGACCTGGGCTTCCTATACAGGCTTGTCCAGTCATCCAGCACAAGTGGGCAGGTGGGTCTGGGGACAGGAGTAAGTCAGCAGGCCACGTAGCCCATCTCTCACTCTCCCTAGGGCAGCCCCACCCCTTCGTAAAGGCCCCAAGAGGCTTGCAGCAGCTCACTGAGCAGCAGGGAAAGACCTGGCTGTGAAATTCACAGGGAAGCACCAGGCAGCCAGGGGACAAGAGGGTAAAATGCCAACCCCAAGAACCAGCACTTGGGGCCCCAGGGAATGCTCCGTGTGCACTGTGTTCATCTTGGGGCCCTGACCCAGGAATGGAATGGTCTCCATGAGAAGAGGGGCAGGATCTGGCGGTGGGAGGGTGGGAGTTGTAGCTGCATCAGGAGCGGTGATTCTTCTGGCTTCTCCTTGTATTCTTACCCCTCAGGACCTGAGTGATGCTGCTGTCTCCAGGATTCTGTGATACCCCTAGACTGCCCTGAAATCTGGATGAGATAGAAGCAAACTATCCATTCTCCACTCTAGATAGGTGTGGAGTAGAAGTTTCCCTGGCTTTCAGGAGGCAGTTTTGGGGCCTTGCCACTTACAGTTCCTTCTACTGGCAAAGCCCTCTCACTCCTTCATTCAGGACTCTCTACCCTTTCTCAGAGAGGCTCCCCCTGCCTCCAGACCTCCCTCCTACTCATTGCTCAGCTTTATTCTCCCTAATCTGGGGTGCTGTGACCACTCTGGGCTTCAGCATTGCCCATGTCTCAACGAGACAGGATAAACTCCCACTATGTATGTTCTCTCCCTGTTCACATCCATACCTTCTCTATACTCCCCAGATTTCACAGGAAAATCTTTGTGAAACCAAAACTTTCAAAAGAATGTATTTGGATCATGATCAGACTTAGGCAGTTCGGGTAGGAGCGAACTGTTATTCCTGTCTCCACCAGCTCCTTAGACATGTCAGACTGAATCTGAAGCTGGAAGGAGCATATATTAATCAGTGAATGTAACAGGAAACAGGGATTCCTGTCGACTCCAGAAAGATTTAAGTCCTATTCTAGGAGGTGCGGATGGGGAATGGAATTCAGAGCACCAGAACTGCCACTCCTTGCTTCCTTCCCCCATAAACAAACAAAATCCAATACTTCAAAAGAAGTTGCTCCTTCCAGCTTCAGATTCAGTCTATGTCTAAGGAGCTGGTGGAAATAGGAATGACAGTTCGCTCTCAGCTCAAGTGCTTAAGTGTGATCATGAGCCAACACATTCTTTTTATTTTGGAGGCAGAGTCTCGCTCTGTCTCCCAGGTTCAAGTGATTCTTGTGCTTCAGCCTCCCAAGGAGCTGGGATTACAGGCTCGAGCTACCACAGCTAATTTTTGTATTTTTAGTAGACACAGGGTTTTGCCCTGTTGCCCAGGTTGGTCTCGAACTCCTGGCCTCAAGTGATCCTCCTGCTTCAGCCTCCCAAAGTGCTGGCATTACAGGTGTGAGTCACCATGCCCAGTCCAAATACATTCTTTTGGAAGTTTTGGTTTCACAAAGATTTTCCTGTGAAATCTGGGAAGTATAGAGAAGGTATGGATGTAGACAAGGAGAGAACATACATAGTGGGAGTTTGTCCTGTCCTTTTGAGACACAGGCAACCCTGAAGCCCAGAGTGGCCAGAGCATCCCCGATGAGAGAGAATGGACTGTAAGATCTTTTGCAGCTTCCCTGGGCCTAGCAAGGACTTGGGCACACAGAAGGTATTCAGTGCTTTTTAAAAGTGATGTATTAGTCCGGAATCCAATTTTCCCAAATGTTAGGTCCCTGGAGGAAAGGACCTGACTACAGTCGTCCTATCCTCCATAGCATTACCCACTACATATACAAATACTCTGCTTTGGTTTACTGAGTTGAGCCTGCAACCTGTGTAGCAGAACCAGAGAGGCAGGCATCCAAATTCTGGTTCTTCCCATTACTAGCTGTCTGATTTTACGATAGCAGACTTGGAGTGTCTGATCCTCCTGGTTGGGAAAACTTTAGTAAAGAAAGTTGGCCAGGAGCGGTGGCTCACGCCTGTAATCCTAGCACTTTTGGAGGCCGAGGGGGGCAGATCACCTGAGGTCAGGAGTTCGAGACCAGCCTGGCCAACATGGTGAAACTCTGTCTCTACTAAAAAAACAAAAAATGAGCCAGGCACGGTGGCACGCACCTGTAGTACCAGCTAACTTGGGAGGCTGAGGCAGGAGAATCACTTGAACCTGAGAAGCAGAGGTTGCAGTGAGCCGAGATCATGCCACTGTACTCCAGCCTGGGCGACAGAGTAAGACTCCATCTCAAAAAAAAAAAAAAAAAAAGCTATTATTATAGTGTTTCATATGGAAAGGTCAAAATATTGCTAAGTCTCGCCAGGCGCGGTGGCTCATGTCTGTAATCCCAGCACTTTGGGAGGCCAAGGTGCGGATCACTTGAGGTCAGGCGCTCGAGACCAGCCTGGCCAACATAATGAAACCCTGTCTCTACTAAAAACACAAAAATCGGCCGGGTGTGCTGGCACTCGTCTGTAGTCTCAGCTACTGGGGAGGCTGAGGTGGGAGGATCACTTGAGCCCAGGAGGCGGAGGTTGCAAGGAGCCGAGATCGCGCCACTGTACTCCAGCCTGGATGACAGAGCAAGGCTCCGTCTCAGAAAAAAAATAAAAAAATAAATTGCTAACACTGAGAAATCTGGTGCTTAGGATTTACTCTCCCTAGGACAGTCCTTCTTGTTTTCTGAGACAGGGTCTTGCTGTCACCCAGGCTGGAATGCAGTGATTTGATCACTGTCCCACTGCAGCGTCGCCCTCCTGGACTCAAGCAACCCTCCAGCCTCAGCCTCCTGCGGAGCTAGGACTATGAGCAGGTGCTACCACACCCGACTAATTATCATTATTATTATTATTTTTTTTTTTGTAGAGACGAGGGTTCTCACCATGTTGCCCACGCTGGTCTTGAACTCCCGAGCTCAAGAGAGCCTCCCACTTTGGCCTCCCAAAGTGCTAGGATTACTGGCATGAGCCACTGTGCCCGGCCCTGAACAGTTCTTAAGAGGGACTCTGAGTAAGGGGCTTAACTCCCGTCTCCACTCCAGGCATCCTAAACAGTCTGCAGCCCTTTTCAGTCCTTCCCCGCTCAACCCCTAAGAATCCCTCACAGGATTAGAGCAGCACAGCATGGGGCTTCCATAGCTCCACTTGCGCGAACTGTGCGCTCCAAGATGAAAGAAGGGAAGCTGGCCACTCATCTGGGACTTGGTGCCTGGTACTTAAGAGCGGGGCACAACTATTCGCGGGAGGAGGAACACAGCACCTGAACAGGCCGCTCTCCGTGACCCACAGTAGCGCAGCCAATCCTGGGGCGCCTCAGGCGGCGCGCGTCACAAGTTGCTGGGCAAACTTTCTTCGGGCGAGCCCCTCCCCAACCCCGAGCCTACCCTAGCCCCTCGCCTGTGGCGCCCGCCGACTCGGAGGGCGAGACCGGGCCGCAGAGACGTAGTGGGGAGCGTCTAACGCTGCCAGAACTCGGTGCCGGCCGTTGCCCCCTTAAGTCGGCTCAGCCTGGCGACGTTCGGCATGGTGACGCCAGCCCCGAAGGTCACACGGGGAGCACCGGGGAGGACAGGCGGAGGGGAAGGCCTGGGAGGAGCAGGCCGCGCGGACGTGTCCGGCCAATCGCTCGCTCCGCAGTGTCTCCGCGTCACTCGTAGCCCGGGCGGCGCTCCCGACCGCTGCTGACAACAGTCGCCCGAGGCGGGTGGGAGGAGAATAGCCACAGCTGAGGACCGCTGCCCCGCGCCACCCGTGCCCTCCCCTGCCCTTCAGTCCCCTCACCGGTCGCCGACTGGCTCTTCAGACACCGCGCGGTTCCCACTCAGCCGGCGCCGACCCCCGCCTCCCGGACTGCGGGACTGGGGCGGGGGAGCGAGGAAGGGGCTAACGGCGCGCGCGGCCTCCGAGTTGGGGGAGCGCGGAGGCGCCCGAGCGTCCGGCCCCTTGGGATGGGGAGGTCACGCTCCTGTCCCTCTCGCCCGCGCCGGCTAGTGGTCAGTCTCGCGCGGGCAGTGTCACCGGTTGCTGGGAAGACTGGGAGGCCAGCGAGCAGCGTAGCGGCCACTCAGCCTCGCCGGCCCCAGCTGGAGCCGGGAAGGAGGCGGGGCTAAGAGAGAAAGCCCGGGGGACTCCACTCCCGCCTCCCGCGCGCGCCAAGGCCCCGCCCTCTCTCCGGACTTGACCAATTCCTGCCTCCCCCTTTGTCTGTCGGCCCACCCCTGGGCCTCGTGCCGCCCAATCAGAGCAAAGGGCGCCGAGCCCGGCGCGCGCCTCAGCCGCCAGCCGCGGAGTTCCGGGAGCCAGGCGGCCCACCGTCTAGTCTTCCAGCGGCTCCTCCCGCGGCCGCCGGCGGGACCCAGACACGCGTACCCTTCGGTGCTGCCGGCGCGGTAGCCAGTGCCCGGCGCGGACGGGGCCGCGGCAGCCATCCCCGAAGTTAAGTCAGCGCCTTCTTGTAAGCGAGGCCGGACTGGATACCCATTATCTCTCAGACCTCACCACAACCCTGCCAGGGGAAATATGAGCATTTATCCTATATTTTAGGTGAGGACCCCACAAGTTAATGATACGCCCAAAGTTGCCATGGCAGGGATAGGGGTTACTCCTGGTCGGCTTGCCAGCTGCCTCTCCATGAGCTTGCTGGTTGAACTGCCTGTCCAAATGTTGACCCTAATGTCTTCTACTAGGAAATGCTACTAGTGTTGTTTTCCGGAGATGCATTTTGGGAGCCTGGCCATCCTTTAGTGTGCCTATATCATCAGAACAGACGCCCAGGGATGGCCCTCAAGGTCCTTCCTTACTGCTCTAATCTTCCTTTCCAGGTCACTTAGTACCAGTCTTCCTGTTACACATCCTGAGCTCTGCTCAGGGGGTCCCCTAAATTAGTGTACACTTAGACCTGCCATGCTTGGACTGGATAACTCTTACCTCTTCTCTGTTTTAATTTGTAAAAGCTTAGTCAAATGCTATCTCCATAAACCTATGCTAGAATGCCCCTCTCTGTCCTCAGTCCTGGGGATATATCCATGCTGCAGCGCAACCTCCCGCATGTTGTTACTGTTGTTATAGTCAGATGAATATTGTTCCCCCATAGCTTAAGGGACAGGCCTTGTCCTACTCATGAACAATTGATCCCTTGAGGCATGAGCGCAGGGCCAGCACACCACAGATGATCAATGAGTGCTTGCTGACCTGCGTATGACAACACGGATTAAGGAACACAAATCTGGTAGCAGCAGGCAAGAAAGCTGAAAAGCAAGACACAGGATGCAGGTCTGGAGTGATGAGGACCTGAACCAGGAAGCGATAACATTGAGAGAGAGATGGAAAATGCGCTTGAAGTATATATATTTTTATTGTAAAGAATCATACACAGATAAGGTAGTATTATATAGAGAATGATTAGTTGAGGATATTTCCAGAGTAAGCCAGAGAAATGTACTAATTTAGACATTTCTGGACTCATTGCTCAGTATTGATGTCATGTTTTTAAGGGCACTGACACACTTGGCTAATCCCAGAGACATGAAGAGGATGGTGACTAGGATGGTCACACAATTAAAGCGGCTGGGGATATTTAACCTAGAAAGAGAAATCTTTTTTGTGCACATAATGACTGTACACAAATTCTAACAAACTTTCACGTGAAAGAGGCCTGGATTAGATGACTTTCTTCTGTGTAGCTTTGGAGGGAAAAACTCATAACGCCGGGAAAGAACAGGAAGCTGGATTTAGGTTTCCGATGTTATGGAAGTCATCACAGTGGGGGATGATAATTGTAACAGGAATGCCAAAGGTAGTGAAAGAAAGGTCAAGGATGAAGTTATGTGTATATCTGTCAACTAAAAATATCACATCCAAATTGTTTTATTTCTCTACACATCTACATCAATAAATGACAACTCTTAATGTGGTTCTGTAAATATTCAAAATATTTATGGAAGGTCTACTATATGCCAGGTAGTATTCTAGATGTTGGAGATAACAGCTGTGAACCTACTAGATGAATCTCCCTAAAGTTCTGATTGCATCACACTCCTGCTCAGTAACAGTCAAAAAAGTCTATACAGCCACCAAATGAAGTTTACTCTTCTGGTGTAATATTCAAGACCCTCTTTCACCTATTCCAACCTGTCTTTCCATTCTGTTCTCTTAAACTCTTCATTAAACCGGATCACTCCCCACCTACCTTCTGCATTTCTCTCAGCTTGGCATACATTTCTCCTATTCCTCCACTTTTTCTTGTCTGCCAAAGTCCTACTTATCCTTCAGGCTTCTGTTCAAATGCCAACCCACTCTCAAAGTGAAAACTGTATCTTCTTTCTGAAGACAACTAGTATTGTTCATCCAGAAATTGTAAAAGTATTTATTGTCTTTGCAAGCCACAAGACACATAAGACACTTTCTCTGTTATTTACATCCTTTACCATGTACTTTAAGATAGAGTCTTGCTCTGTCACGCAGGCTGGAGTGCAGTGGCATGATGTCGGCTCACTGAAACCGCTTCCCGGGTTCAAGTGATTCTCGTGTGTCAGCCTCCCAAATAGCTGGGACTACAGGCACGCACCAACATGCCTAGCTAATTTTTGTAATTTTAGTAGACATGGGGTTTCACCATGTTGCCCAGGCTGGTCTTGAACTCCTGGCCTCAAGTGATCTGCTGTCTTCGGCCTCCAAAAGTGCTAGGATTACAGGCAAGAGCCACCATGACTGGCCACCATGTACTTTAGAATAATGTGCATACTTTATTTTTCCTACTAAATTATAAGCTTGAGGGCAGAGTCAGTCAGAGGCTGGGTGCACATTTCTGAACACCTGGTATGTGCAAAGAAATGGGCTAAGTGTTGGAGACGAAATGGAGACTGAGTCCTTTGAGGACATGCTGAGGGAGGGCAGACGCCCCCACAGACCTTGCCATCCCATCATGTGCAAAGTACCAAGTGGTGTAAAGGCACAAGAGGAAGAATAGGGTAATTCTGCAGTAGGTCATCAGTAAACTTCATTGGCTCAGCATGTAGCCAGGATTTTGTATAGGGGTCTGTGGATGGAGGTGACAATGATTTTCATCTCCCAACACACACCCCCACTGGGAGATTTCTGCAATATAAGTGATGGGACTGGGTCAGGCAGAGGGATTAGATGAACAGGAAAGGAGTGAGCATGCACTCAATCCAGACTGAGAGAGTGAGTTGGGGGCAACTGAAAGGCAAGTAAGTAGGGCTAAGGTATACACCACTATTTCAAATCCCTGTCTGAAGTGTGAGCCCAGTGGGTATTCACAATGCCAAAAATCAGATGCTGAAGGCTTACCATGTTATTAGTGGTATAAGGACTGAGAAGACTGTTTCAGTTTCATTCATCTTGTTCCTATATTGCTAAATACAATGTTTTCCATTCTTCAAACATTCTAATTTCAGTTACAATAAAAATACTGGCTTCTAGAGGACGGTAGCTCCCAGTTCTTCCTCGAATAACTCCACAGATGTCAACTGACACAGTTTTCAAATAGAGGAAAGAACCAAGCACAGAAAAGTGAAATCTAACAATTTAGAATAATAAGAACCAGAAAGACTATACTGATTAAATCCTGAAATGAAGGTTTTATTTGGTGTTTAAGGAATAAGGGTTTGTATTAATTTCAAGTTGTAAACATATTGTAAAGCCATATCAAAATGGATTTCAGGAAACAAGAAGATAAGTGAAAACATAAATTGAATCAATAACACACATATTAATCTTAATGGGTTGACACAGAGGATTTAATGTCTTTTAAATTAAACAGTAACCTTAATAGAAAACGATTGGAGTTTGTGCTACTTACAGTCTGTGGTCAACTTCAAGGACTCAAACACCGATTCCGTCGGAGAGATTGCTACTTTACTTATTTTTACATTTGTACAGGTAAACTAATTGTGAAGAGCTACAGTAAACTAGATAAAATTGAAATAGCACAAAAGTAGAATATTTGTTGAGAGGACATTTGAAGATCAACTTCCTTTAAAATACAAATTGCTTCCTAGTCCTTAACGACAATTTTTTTTTGAGTTATGTTATATAAAAATTATGTTCAAAAGTCATATCTAGACTCAGTGTTTCACAAAATAAAATACAGAATTAAAATCACAAAGCAGAACTCTCAGGGGAAAAATCAGTTTCAAAGGAAAATGCAAGGTAGGATAAAATCAGTTTTTATAATTGAAACCACTTTAAAAGGTTATGAACAGTAGTATAGGGGCTGGGCACTATGGCTCACGCCTGTAATCCCAGCACTTTGGGAGGCCGAGGCTGGCGGATCACAAGGTCAGGAGATCAAGACCATCCTGGGTAACACGGTGAAACCCTGTCTCTACTAAAAAATAGAAAACATTAGCCGGGCATGGTGGTGGATGCCTGTAGTCCCAGCTACTTGGGAGGCTGAGGCAGGTGAATGGCATGAACCCGGGAGGTGGAGCTTGCAGAGCCAAGATAGCACCACTGCACTCCAGCCTGGGCGACAGAGCGAGACTCCAGCTCAAAAAAAAAAAATTTAAAAAAAAAAATAAATAAAAAATAAAAAAGAACAGTAGTATAAATAATAATGGTATCACATGCAAACCTGTCAGATCTTTAGAAAGTATTTTGATTTTGGTTATTTTCACAAATTAGAGCATTTAAAAAGTAAGTAGATACATTTAAACGTAACATATGATGTGTGACTATAAGTTATTTTTAAAAATCTTAAATACTTTTGTCTGTGTTTAAAGACTGGTTCCACCACTTAGTAGCAGTATGACCTTGGACAAGTTATTTAATCTCCTTGTCTGTCAATTTCCTCAATGTAAAATGAAGGTACAATTTGCTGTAGTTGGTTTTTGTGAGGATCAAATGAATAAACCAGAACAGTGCCTGGTGCAAGGCATACACTGCCTAAGTGTTTGCTGTTTTTATTATGACATGTAATGAGCAACTCGGGAAAGTAATTTACCTCTGGAAAACTCAGCAGATTTAACAAGGGTAAAAATAAAGATTTTTAGTCATATAGGTTCAGGGCAAGCATGGGGGCTCACGTCTGTAATTCTAATGGTTTGGGAGGTTGAGGCAGGAGGACTATTTGAGCCCAGAAGTTCACAACCAGCCTGAGCAAAATAGCAAGACCCAATCTTTACAAAAACAAAAATCAAAACATTATCCAGGCATGGTGGTGGAGGCCTGTAGTCTTCACTAATTGGGAGGCTGAGGCAAAAGGATTGCTTGAGCCCCGGAGTTGGAGGCTGCAGTGGGCTATTATCAGGCCACTGCACTCCAACTTGGGTGACCAAACAGGACCCTGTCTCTAAAAAGTTAAACAAATAAGTGTAATACAGGCTGTCCCTTTCATTAACATTTATTAGTAGATTTTACATTATATATTTCTGGGAGCAAGTTTTCAACTGGAATTTTTTTTTTTTTTTTTTTTTTTTTTTTTTTTTTTGAGACGGAGTCTTGCTCTGTCGCCCAGGCTGGAGTGCAGTGGCTTGATCTCTGCTCACTGCAAGCTCCGCCTCCCAGGTTCACACCATTCTCCTGCCTCAGCCTCTGGAGCAGCTGGGACTACAGGCGCCTGCCACCACACCTGGCTAATGTTTTGTATTTTTTAGTAGAGACGGGGTTTCACCGTGTTAGCCGGGATGGTCTCAATCTCCTGACCTCGTGATCCACCCATCTTGGCCTCCCAAAGTGCTGGGATTACAGGCGTGAGCCACCGTGCCCGGCCTTCAACTGGATTTTTAAAAAAGTTTTAGGGAGGTATAATTGATACACAAATTACACACTGAAATGTACAGTTTGAAAAGTTCTGACATATACATATATACCCTCAAGAAAGCCTCACTACAATCAAGATGGAGAACATATCCACTACCCACAAGTTGCTTCATGCCACTTTGTAATCTCTACCACCTCCCCACCATGCAACCACTGATCTGCTTTCTATTACTATATATTTGTCAACTCTAATATGTTTAATCAGCAATTAATGGTGGTATTTATTAAATATATAATTGACAGTAGGAAAAAAGTTAAGAACTATAAAAAGATAGCTTATATTGGTAGGCAAAAAAACCTAAAAAAGGTAATTTTTAATGATGGAGGCAATTTAGGGTACTTATGTGAGAAAATTAGAAATAAAAGTTGCAAGTAAAAATTTATGAAAAAATTATTTAACTAAGAAATAAAGTTGATTTGTGATATTACATTGTAATTGATGGTGTTGCTAACATCTTCATATGGCTTTCATATTTTTACATTTCACTCACTAAGTCAGGCTACAGGGGTCGGTTGCTTGTTTATTAGTGCCAGGAACTAGGAGGGATGCTTGTGACAGGATCCATATGTGGCTATTTAAACCCGGTCAAGAGCTACACATGACTAGTAGCTACCATGTTGGACAGTGCAACTATAGTAACTTCCGTCATTGCTTAAGTGCGACCTTAAGTGCTGATTTAGAAGACTTCTGAGGCTGTGACCTATGACGGAAATGAGGAGAGTCTAAGCTGAAGCTACAGCAATGAGATGAACAGAAGGCATCTCTCTGAGATACTCAGTGTGATGAAAAGCAATGTGGGGGGTGCCTTCTAGGTTTTCCCCTAGGGTAAAGAGATGGACTGTAGAACCATTTACCAACATTAAATGTCAGAAGAGCAGGATCTGGGAAAGGGGATGAAATCAGATTTGGATTCACTGACAGAGAGGCAACTCTGGGACAGGCCAGCTGTATCTCAAAGGCTGACGGATCTCAGAATGTGATCTGTGGAAAGTCTGTAGAGACGGAGCTCCAAGGAAGGAACAGTAGCCATGGGTAAGGACTACAGCCATGCACTAGGGTAAGGGCACTCAGGGAAAGTAGGCAGCATGAGATGGTCAGAAGCTAACATCAGGGCTTGGGGCACAGTAACATTTAGGACAGGGTTTTCAAACTGTGAATAGGTAATGAAATCAACAAAAGAGATCTCCACCAGCATTTAAAAATGGTATAAAAATATTAATGTGCTTTACATATAATTTGGGTAAAGATCTTTTCTTGTACCTTTTTAATGAATATATTTACACACATATATGTATACTGGGTTGCAAGGTAAAACACGTATCTGGGTTGTCTTCCAATTAGTTTGAATCTCACCAGTTTATAAAATGAGCACCATCGGCTGGGCGTGGTGGCTCACACTTGTAATCCCAGCACTTTAGGAAGCCGAGGCAGGTGGATTACTTGAGGTCAGGAGTTGGAGACTAGCCTCACCAACATGGTGAAACCCTGTCTCTACTAAAAATACAAAAAAATTAGCGGGGCGTGGTGGCATGTGCCTGTAGTTTCAGCTGCTCAGGAGGCTAAGGCAGGAGGCTCACTTGAACCTGGGAGGCAGAGGTTGCAGTCAACCGAGATCACTCCATTAGCACTCCATCCTGGCGACAGAGTGAGACTCCATCTCAAACAAATAAGTAAGTAAGTAAATAAATAAATAAAAATAAAATGAGCACCATAGACTATCAGCTACATCGGAACTGAGATAGTGTCCTTTTTCTCAACACTGCCTGAAATTCTGGCACATACTAGGCACTCAGTAAAGACATATTGCATAAAGGAATGAATCAACAAGCCAGAGAAGAGGAAACCCAGTATAAGGGTGACTCAGAAGTTAAATAACAAGAAAAAAGAGAGAAATAACCCAGTGTCAGATGTCAGTGATGTGACAATATTGAGAGCATGGATCACCTTATCTTTGTAATTCCTATGAATTGGCAGCATCCGGAGCCAGACTGTAGAGGTGAATGGGAAGGGACAGGAAGTGGAGAAAAGACAAATGAGAGTGGAGACTGAGAGGCTGTTTTGTATTGAAGATGTGAAAGTTCAGTATGTATTCTGAAGAAATTATATAGAAAAGGTAGGTTCTACAAACGTGCTGCCCAGGAAAGGAGCCACTAGCTACACATAGCTATTTAAATTAAAATAAAAAATACAATTTCTTAATCACACTAGCTCCATTTCAAGTTCTAAATGGCCACATGTATCTAGAGACTACCATACTGTGCAGAGCTGATTAACATTTCCTTCTTTGCCTAAAGCTCTTTCGGACAGTGCAGCTCTAGACAAAAGTTTTAATTCATCATGTTTGTGGCTGGCTTCAATAAACAAGCTTAGGTTAAATCAATGCACAGCATCGCCCAATCTCTTCCTACCTAAACCATTATCCAAACCCAGCAGAAAAACTCTTGTGGGATTATATTACAATCTATACATGATAGATTCACATCTGGTCTCAGTGGGTGAGAGTCAACCTTGGAAGAGGCCAGTGGAGACTTTAAAGGGGATGCTAAAGCTCAGGACATGATCTAGAGGTCTGGGCATTCTACGTATTCATAATGTTTTCCCACCAAAGATCTGTAACAAGTGGCAGCAGTTTGTGATTGCTAAGCATTACATAGAGAAAAGGAGCTATGCGATGGGGTATAAGAATGACAGGTACTAGAATAGTGCTGAATAAGAAAGGTTGGAGAATTCAGGCTAGGGTAAACAGAACATCTTGGATAAAATGAGGTTATTACAGTGAAATTCTAGTTCTACAAAATTAAAGTGACTGGTAGAAAACAAATAAATCATGTTTATCACCTTATATTTAATTTTTATGGTTTCCGTATGGCACTTTAATAACAAAAAGGACTGTAGTAGAAGACTGAGGCATTATTAGCCATCAAAGCTGTCCACTTAGACAATGTTACTCAAGGTCCTGCTGACTTACTGAAATTAGAAAAATCACTTTTGTAATTTTAAAAACAAAACCTCCAATTTAATGGAAAATCTCTGTTTTCAATCACCTCTTTTAAAGGAATATATTTTGCTCTGCTCAATTAAAAAAATCGTTATTCATGGGATGAAGGGATAGAAGAAATGGACTAAGAACTGTAGAACTCCTGGCACATGACTCCATCCAAACCTCTGAGTTACTAAGAGACAAACTTTAGCATGCCTTCTAGCAGTATAAGATCACGTCCCTAGGATAACCCCAGCTCCCCCATGAAAATGCCTGCCTGAGAAAGCTCAAGGCTAAGACAGGAGAATTTACTGTTTGTTCTAGCCAACACCTGATGATACGCTCGTGATCTCCCTTTCTCAGGGCGTTTATTAAGGGCTTACAATTATGAATCCTTCTTTCTTCTCTTTAAGGTGTTTTATGTGTCTGCTACAACTTAAGAGGGAGGTCCTTTTAAAGGACCTGAGAGCCATTCCTCTGAAATGGATCGTCAAGAAGGGCAGAGCCTCTACCTCCCAATATCAGTGCAACAATAGCACTCTAGGCTGGGCGTGGTGGCTCACGCCTGTAATCCTAGCACTTGGGGATGCCTAGGCGGGTGCATCACCTGAGGTCAGGAGTTTGAGACCAACCTGGCCAACGCGGGGAAACCCCATCTCTACTAAAAATAGAAAAATTAGCCAGAGGTGTTGCCATGCACTTGTAATCCCAGCTACTCGGGAGACTGAGGCAGGAGAATCTCTTGTACTTGCGGGGGTGGGGGTTGGAGTGAGCCAAGATCGCGCCATCACACTCCAGCCTGGACAACAAGAGTGAAACTCCGTCTCAAAATAAATAAATAAGTAAGAGTAGCACTCTAACTTCTACAGCTGCTAGCCAGCAGACACATCTGGCCTAATCGCATCTATGCCAATCAACTCTGTAACTTTTCACTTCTCTGACACTGTTGGGCCCTGATCACCTTCCTTCCTTCATTCTCCCTTTGACATGCCCAATCACTTCTGTAGAAATCGGAACAGAGACCGGTTCTTTCCCCTTCTGTAAGCGGTTACTGAATAAAGTCTTTTCCACTGCTTCAGTGTCTAGCTGGGTTATCTTTGCCAGGATCCAAAAAGAAGGGGAACTCAGCCCATTTGCCTTTTCCATCTGTAGGGCAAACTTTGAGTTGACTCCGAGGAAGTTACGCCTTTTGTAAAAACAAAGCATGCCACGCTGAAGCCCTTCCCCTTAGGCCTAGGCCCTCGCCTCACCAAGCGACAGGTAGAGGTGACAACCGGGTCGCTCGTTCATGGACCCAGGTAACGACACACAATGCCATGGAACAAACTCCTGCTCATCGAGGGCATCTGACCCTGGGTGCACGAGTGAATTAACTGAGTTAATGTTGACTACGTTCCTGATGAGTATTCACGGAGTAATTGGTGACCACACCAAAATGTCGTTCAAGTGCGAGGTCCAGAGGCCTCGAGGGCTGGGATTTACCCATCGGAGCCGTCCGCTCACACGCCGTTAGTAAGGGTTCCGCCGCCTTCACTGGAGGGAGGAAAGTCACTTTTGGAAATCGACTTTGCTTCGCCGGCGAAGTCCGCCAGGGTCCGGCCTGGAGTCGCCCCAGGAGCCGCTACCGGAACTTGACGAGCTCCCTTTCGGCGCCGCGCCCGCCTTCCCGGACCAGGCCGGAAGTGGCTTCCGGACAGCCGCCGCCGCAGCTCCGTAAAGCAAGATGGCACTTCTCTCTGAGGCTATTATCTCCATTTGATAGCTAGTATTCCTCTTCTCACCAGTTACTCCCGACTTCCATCCCGCGCCTGAATTTTCGTCAGCGCCACATTCATGTTTTTCTTTCATTCAGCCTTGGTAGAGGATGGTCTGGAGGCAACCTAGGACCAGCCTGAGCAGCGTGGGGCGCCATTTTGTACGGAAACCGAAGGCAGGGCGGGGGCGTGTGAGGCCTCCCGAGGAGGCCGGGCTTGAGCGAGAGCGTGGGCGGGAGGGCGTTGTTCACCGATGACGTATTTCCGCTTCTGGTCTGCCTGGTCGTTTGTGGTTGGATCGGCTTGTTGCGGGGAGGGAGGGGGAAGATTGTTTGCTGCCTAGAAGCTCCGCGGACGGGAATGTAAACTGAGGTAAGGCTGTGAGGGGGGCTTTTGCGCATGGCTGGGTAGAATGGCCGGGAGTAGGGTCCTTGGGATTGCAGAAGAGTGTGGAATTGGAGACGGGAGGCTTAGATCGTCTCGGGTTGGACAGAAAAGGTGGGGTGGGGCTCGGGGTTACAAGGTGAATCGCAAAGCCGGGCGGGGGTGGAGTGGGAAGAGCGGGGGACCGCAGGAGATGGAGGAAAGCCTAGGGGTGCAGAGGAAAGTCTCGAAGGCGCTGGCTGGGGAGGGGCTGGGTCGAGAGGAGCTGGGATGGAGGAAGAGTAGAATCTGAAGTCCTTGAAGGCTAAGGAGAGAAGTTGAGGTAGGGACTGGTCGGAATACATGGGTGGGGGCGTGGTGAGAGTGTAGCTTTTGGGAGGCGATGTAGAGTTGGAAGGGGCTGGTGGCCGCGGTTTTGATGCTGACATGACCTGGCCTTTGTTTCTCTGCAGCTCGCCAGAGACGCTCATCCTACAGCCTCAGTTCGGGCCCAACCTTCTCTCTCCAGCTGCCACCACAGCCTGGAGGCGCCTGCCTCCACCCTCCCGAATGGTGCTCCTCCTAGCAGGCCTCGGCCCGGGATCCAAGCCCCCTTTGCCCCCCGCCTTGGAGCTGTTGCTCCGGGTTTCTCATAGTGGACTCCCTGTGGCGGGAAGGGAAGAACTTTTGCACAGACAAGGCTTCAGCTCTAAGAACCCCACTGACAACTTGAATGTCAACCTCTAACCTAGTGTGAGGTTCTTCCTGTGCCCACGTTTTCTGCCTTTTGAGAAGAGAAACCCTTCTCCTGGCCATCTAGAACCCAGGAAGCCCCAAGCTGGGGCCCTGGTCCCAGCATGTCAGTCCTCTCTTGTGCATAGGGCTCTGCCCTCTCCCTGTCAGCATGGCTGAGCTCAGACAGGTTCCAGGAGGGCGGGAAACCCCACAGGGGGAACTGCGGCCTGAAGTGGCAGAGGATGAAGTCCCTAGGAGCCCAGTCGCAGAAGAGCCAGGAGGAGGTGGAAGCAGCAGCAGTGAGGCCAAATTGTCCCCAAGAGAGGAGGAAGAACTGGATCCTAGAATACAGGTGAGAACACTGAGAGCAGGGAGAGGAGGAGAGCCCTGATTCCAGCCTCCCTGAAGAGTGTCGGATGAATGAGAGCTTAGACTTATTCTGTCCCCAGTCAGCTGGGGCAGGAAAGGAGAACAAGTTTGTCAACAAATCATTGCAGAGTAATGTGACAAGTTCCAAAAGAGTTGTGTGTCTGAAGTGCTGAGGGAGTGCAGAGAAAGGCCTGGCCTGAGTGCTTGGCAGGCATTGCTGAAAGCTTCACTGAAGGAGCAAAGTGTCACTTGGCAGCAGACGGAGGAGGCACCCTTTAGGTCAGTGGAGGGTAGGAGTGTTGTACTTTGCAGAGAAGCAGAGGGGCTGCCACCTTAGTTAGGGATGCTGTGTGAGAGGAGATGACTTTGATATTGGGAGGCAGTTTTGAGGCTGCGTGAGAGAATCTTTTCCCCTTTCTCACCTTCTCAGCAGTACCTTCCAGGGATGTGCAGCCCACATTGCTCTGATAATGTGTTTCACTCTGGTAAACAGACCTTTCCAGTGTTATAAAGGTAGCATCAACTTGAGATCTATAAAGAAACCCCATATGTTCAAGGATTTGTAACTTTTGTTGTGGCCAATCCTTAGTAACATACACACCTGGCCCTCAGGATGGTGGGTCTCCTAAAGGAATGGAAGAGCAGTTTATTGCCTTGGAGTGTCTACAGTCTAGTTAGTAGGACAGGCAGATCTTTGTGTAGGAGACCTGGGGAAGGTGAGGAAGTGAGGAAGACCAACTCCATGTGGAAGAGATGCCTGGCCAGTCAAAGCTGGGTTGCAGTGTTTCAGGAGATTGGCTGAGAAGGACTTCCTGAGGAAGCTTCTTGGGCAGGCGATGACGAGGATGCTTCTGCATGTTTGGGGCTTGAGTCTGCCATTTGGTCCGGTCACATCTCCAAGACTCTGATGTTGTGGAGGTGACTCTTCCGTGGGTGAGCAAGAACGAACGAAGGCTCAAATTCCTAGGCTTACCTGTCAGCAAACCTTTATGGGATTACTCCAGTGAGTTGGGAAGAAATCAAAGCCAGTCCTGGCATTCTTCCTTCTCTCTCTGTGTGGGTTCCTGGGATATGTGTGTGTGTGTGGGTTCCTCTTCTGCTGTGTCCATGCTTATAATGGAGCAGTGGTGAGCCATTCGTTTCTGGCATGAGTCAGTAATTTATTTCTGCTGTGCCTGACATTGCATTGAAAACAGCCAGTTTCTCTTGCTAATTCTACAGATTTATCATCCTCTGAGGAAATCGGTTGTAGTGAAAAAAGCCTTGGGCTGAGTTTCATGCTACCTCCAACCCCATGATTTATGATTTTTATGGAAGTTTCTTTACATTTGTGAGCCTCAGTTTCTTCATCTGTAAAGTGAGCAGTTGGTCTAGCTGATTTGCACAACTCATTCTTGCTCTGCTCTGACACAAGTCTACAGTTCTTTCTCAAACTCTTTTTGCTTGTTCCTTGGTGATAGTTTGTAGATACACTTTGGGAAAGAGCTCTCTCTGTTGCTTGCGGAGGAGGGCTGTGTAATGTGCATTATGTGCCTCCCTGCAGCCTTCCTTGCCCTGCTCCAGAGGAGGTTTCTGCAGAGGAGAATCGACTGTGGTCTCTTTACTTGGCCTCTGCTACTCCTGTGTATTTTTCCAGTGTCCGCAATGGTAGTAGTAGGAAGAGTCATACTTGCACTGTGCTGTTTAATAGGGTGGACTAGCTGCATGTGGCTACTTAAACACGATCAATTAAAATTAACATGTAAAAATGCAGTTCCTTGGCCGGACGTGGTGGCTCACACCTATAATCCCAGCACTCTGGGAGGCAGAGGCAGGTGAATCAGTTGAGGTCAGGAGTTCGAGACCAGCCTGGCCAATATGGTGAAACCCTGTATCTACTAAAAATAAAAACAATTAGCCGGGTGTTGTGGCGGGTGCCTGTCATCCCAGCTACTTGGGAGGTTGAGGCAGGAGAATCACTTGAACCCAGGAGGCAGAGGTTGCAGTGAGCTGAGATTGTGCCACTGCACTCCAGCCTGGGTTCAAGAGCGAAACTCCGTCTCAGGAAAAAAAAAAAAAAAAAAAAAAAAAAAGTTCCTCAATGCTATACTGACAGTGCAGAAATAGAACATTCTGTCATCACTGACTCTTGTATCAGATGCACTCTGTGAGAGGTGGAGTACACTGAGCTGGCGTAAGGTTTACGTTGCCTCCAGTGAGCTTGTGGTGTCACTGGTGCAAGGAGGGTAAACCAGACCCTGGTCTCTCTTGCTAAACTGCACAGCACGTTGTGGAGTGTTGTAGGTTGTATAGGAAGGGAAGGTCTAGTAATAGCTTCCCTCATTTGATGACACAGGTGTGGCTAGGCCAGTGCTCTGACCTCAGCAGGGAGTTAGTGTCTTCTTGCTGTGGGAGAGAGGTAGCCCTTCCTGGAGGAGGCTGGTGGCATTTTGCCTTTCTGTGGTTGGGCTTTCAAGATGAGGAGGAGATTGGGGTCTTTCCAGGTCTCTTTTAGTGTTGACAGTTCACCAGACCGTGCACATTGCTCTGATCACGTGTTTCAGTGCTTTAAGTGGGTGTTCATTTCTCTGGATTCTCAGTACGTTTACTGGATTTCCATCCAGAGTCCATAAAAAGTCACCAGGGAGCTTCCAAAATACCCTTACCTGAGCCTTTCTAGACACGTGGATTCTCTTAGTCTGGGTGGGGTGAGAAGGGATTCTAATGTTGCAGTCAGAGCCAAATCCACTGGGCCAGGTATATCCCAAAGGTAGGGCACCTGTTTCGATATTTTCTGAACCTCCCAGAAAGGCTGTCCTTAGGATGAGGCCCTCTCTGACCTGGGGCTGGGGATCCTTCGCAGGCAGGCAACTCCATGGCCATTTATGGTGGAATTCCTCTGGAAGTTGGAAGAAAGTCAGCTGGTGCCTACCTGGAGTGTGCTGTCCCTCCAGGGAAGGCTGCTGACTGTCTGCATGTCACGATCTTAGTGGAGTTCTTTTGAGTCCTCCAGGCTCATCCTCAGACTTCCGAGAGGGCTCCAGTGGAGGGAAGAGGAAAGGAGCGTGGATCTAGGATGGACCTGGGTCTGTTCTGTGACTTTTGAGCCTCCTCTTAGTGGTTGCGTTCTTTCCTCAGCTGTGAGTGCACTCGTTTACCTGCTCCTTTCCAAACTCTTTAGGGTGACTTTGCAACCTCTGTGACCTCATCTAGAAGTATGGATTTAGCTTTCACAGGACAGTCATCACCCTGGCCCCAGTTACCATTAGCTTGAGTCTTTTGATGGTCTGCACAAAAGACGAGGTGGGGTGGGAGCATCTGCAGCCTGAGTCCCCATGCCTTTGATTCAGTGTCCTGGCATCCTGGGAATTTGACTGCTGTGCCCTGGGAAGGTCACCCTCCCTGCTGGCTGCTGGCTCACTGATGGATAATGCATGCTGATTCAGACTTTGTCCTCCTCGAATTCCATTTCAACTGAGTGCCAGGAGTCCCTGGTGAAGCAGGCCAAATGGAATGTGTTGCTGACTGCCCAAAACCGTCCCAGGTCCTCAGTGGATTCCTGCTCAGCCTTTCCCTGGGTATCCCCGAGGCGGGCTCTCCCCCTCCCTCCCGTGCTGACCTTGCCCTCCAGGCTGCTTTGCTCCCCAGGCATCTTCTTGTCCTGTTAGATAGAGCTTTGTGACTCTGAGGGGACAGATCCCATCAGCAGATGGCTTTTTGTAAATTGTTGGAGGTGCTGTTGGGATGCTAGTTCCCATATGGAAAGATAATGCCCACTCCTGCCACTTGCCAACAGCAACAGCTCTTCCTGTCCTTTTTCCAGTAGTCACAGCCGATGCTGAGCCGTCCGGTGCGTTGATTGTCTTGTCAGGAGCTGGAAGTTGGTGACTGGGAGCGTTTTAGGCCATGGAATCCAGTGAGGGTCCAGTCTTGGACTTTGATTTGCCACATGAACATTGCAGGGTGGCCTTTACCAACTGAACCCCCGCAGTCAATGTTTGCTGCATTTCCAAGCCCTGCCCTTTTCCTACCCAGGCTGTGGTTTTCCTAGATGACAGCACTTCCTTCTGTACTGAGATGTCCTTCCAACGGTGTCCTCGGTCCCAGGAGGGTGGTCACAGTGGAAGGAAAGTGAGATCAAAGGTTGGTCCTGGATCCAGACCCAAGTCTGTCACTAATTTTCTGCCTGGTTGTTTCTCATCTATCAAATGCGAAGGAGCTGAGAAAGAATATTCCAGAGGAGGTGCTGAAAGAACTGGTCACTCGTCTCCCAGATAGCCTAAAAGCCCCTGTAGGCCACGTCAAGCACAGGAAGCTGGGCCTCCAGGGAGATAGGTTGCCTTTCACCTTGACAGACATTGCATTTTTAGGGCCAGTTAGGGTGACCATGTCAGTTGATGGTGATGTCTCTGTTAGGAAGGCACAGTGAAACCTGGAGTTCTATGTGTCTGGTAGTGCTGGTGCTGACCCTATGCCTCCTCTGGGGTCCTGAGCTGTGTTGGCTGCCTGTTCTTCCAGAATAGTTATTTTATGGACACTGCGTTGTGTGACACTGTAGGTGCATCTACCCAAATACAACAACTTCTAGACCTTCGCCGTCCAACACAGGAGCCACATGCCACGGTCTAGGTTGAGATGTGTCCTAAGAGTCAAGTGCATATGGATTTTGAAGACTTAGTTTAAAGAAGTGTAAGTATGGATAATAATATTATTTTATGCTGATCACAAGTCGAAATGATATTTTGGATATATTGGGTTAAATGTATTTTTATAATTTCACTCATTTTGTTTTTATTTTTTACTTTTAAAAAATGTGGCTTCTAGAATTAAAAATTCCACGTGCAGCTCCTGTTACATTTCTGTTGAGTAGGTCTCTTCAAGAGAGTCGAGAGCAAGCTTGTTCAACCAGTGGCCTGCGGGCCGCATGCAGCCCAGGATGGCTTTGAACACCGCCCAATACAAATTTGTAAACTTTTCTTAAAATATGATGAGATTTTTTTGCGATTTTTTTTTTGGAGACAGTCTTGCTCTCTCACCCAGGCTGGAATGCAGTGGCACAATCTCGGACCACTGCAACCTCTGCCTCCCAGATTCAAGTGATTCTCCTGCCTCAGCCATCCCAGTAGCTGGGACTACAGGTGTGCACCACCACACCCAGCTATTGTTTTTGTATTTTAGTAGAGATGGGCTTTGCATCATGTTGTCCAGGCTGGTCTCAAACTCCTGAGCTCAGGCAGTCTGCCCACCTCGGCCTCCTGAAGTGCTAGGATTACAGGTGTGAGCCACTGCGCCAGGCCACGATTTTTTTTTTTTTTTTTTTTCTTTTAGTTCATCAGCTATAGCTAGTGTTAGTGTATTTTATGTGTAGCCCAGGACAGTTCTTCTTTCAGTGTGTTC